CATAAAGGCTGCCAAAAATATGCAGGCCCATCTTGCTTGATGACGAGGGAGGCAGTGTTACCGAGTTCCATGTAGTCAACTGGTGCTCTCAAGCTATTCCCGGATATGTCTCTCGCAGCAAGAACCCAACCGAAAAGCAGACGGTTGTTAGGTTGTGCATAGAAACCAAGTGAGAAGAAACCATCAGATAGATTAATAGGTTGGAAGATGCTGACTCCCAGGTTGTCGGGCCCTCCCTCGAAGGCTCTCCATACCCTCTGTGATGTTGACGCTGATATGGAGACTTGAATCACCTCAAGACCTCCAAGATCTATCTTTCCTTTCCCAAAGTTTTTCGCACCATCCGGAATGATAACAGGCAATGGAGAAGGAAACTTGAACGTTGTTTCTACAGGTAATGGAGAAGCTATCTTAGAGCCTGTCTCTACAGGTAACGGATGCGGAGATATGCTTACTGTGAGATTCAAATCGGAGTTGGCTCCACTTCCGTCGCAAAACACATGGTTAACAAATACTACAATCAAAAGAAAACTCAAAAGTTCTGAGGCTTTTTCATTAGATGATTGCATTCTTTCTCTTATTCTTGGTTAGTAATAATAATGATAGGCCACAAAATCATACATTTAGGTTTTGTAACCGTTTGACCTCTATTCTCCAAACAAATATATATACTAATATAGTGCACACTATCTTTTTTTAGTCAAAGTGTTATTAATAAAACGTGTATAATTAGTTGACTGTATGCAGTTTATGGATGTTTTTACTTGGACTTATCAGTTTATTTTGGAAATATTTTTTTGGTGTATATCCAATTATAGCACAAGATTTTCAAGTTCTCAATGTCACCAGCTTCAAATTCCTGATTTCCTGATAAATGAATCTAGGATTTTAGAGCCAGTCTTCGATTCTTTTCATAAAAGAAATTTAATTATTTTCAAAAGTAAGATTTAAATATCTATCTGTGTGTGTTTTAATTTAGTAAGTGCTAAAATGATCTTTTGTTAATTAAAAATCTGCGAGAGAAAAGAGACGATAATTTAAGTGGATCCATATGCACAAACCCTCTAATTTTAGAATTCCTAAACTTGATACTTAACGTAAAAACAGCATGCATAAACTCTTAGATATTGTGTATTATAGTTTTTTTAAACATGCATGATTATCTTTGTCCAGAAAACATGCATGATTATGAATATAGGTTTCTCAATGTTTTCATCTAGATGTTGTATTGAAATAGATCATATGTTTAAGTCCAATAGTTGTCTCAGTCATAGTTTCTGTGCACTGATTTGTGGGGTCTTTCAAATATTGAGCTAAATTTTATTTATTTTATTGAAGATTTTTAAATAAATATAATTCCCTTAAAACAAAATGTTATAGGATTTCAACACATATCACGAACACTGTGGAGCCTGGTTTTGGAAGACAAGAAGTTCATGCCTAAAATGATGGACAAGGACACGAGGTCTTTTGACACAAGTGTTTAAAACTATGGGGATGTAATATTAATGCCATTTGTTTATCGAAATTCCCTCGTAACCTTTAATTTTCTTGGATAGGTCTGGGCTCTGAGTCTGAGCACAAGTAACAAATACTTTGATATTGAGGTAAGATTAAGGCCTCTCTCATCCTACACGAACAGAGGATTGATCTTTCCTGGTTGCTCCTCCTGGTTCCTGGATTAGGTAGACGACGGCTTAGGCTCTTCACGATCGATGCATCTGTTGCAGCCGGAGGGCGGGGGTGGGAGGGACAACTGTATCGTCGCTGGAAATTCAGTGTTCGGAGCTATTTTCCCAATGCGGACCACCGTTGAAAAGCCAACCCACCACTTGAGAAAAGTGGCTATTTCGAAATATTAATTGTATGCAATAACAAGACAATAATTCTAAGATAAAACTTTCAAGTCCTTTAGCTAATGAAGTAAGAAATGGAATATAATGGAAGCTGCACGTGTTGGCGGTGGTGCTTAGAGCATCTCCAATGTATTACTCCATTTTCTACTCTAAAATGGAGTAACTCCAAAATGCAGTTGAGTTTTACTCCAATGTATTACTCCATTTTCTACTCCAAAAGAATATTTTTAATATTATATTTATTTCAAAATTAGGAATATCACCTTTCATTTATACTATTTGCAAAACAGTCCATTTTAAATTTATAGCATT